TGGTACCTCAGCACCTGGAGCGAGGAAGAGAGGCGGGGGGGGGAGCGGGGCAGTGCGGTAGGGGAAGAGGCGGTAGTAGGGGACGGACTCGTCAAAAGTGACGTCCTGAGAGGCCAGGACACGACGCGAGGTGGGGTGGTAGAACTGCCAACCAGGGGCGTCCGGGACAAAGCCAAGGAAGACGCAGGGGACAGCGCGACGAGAGAGCTTGTCCGCGGACGTGTCGCGGACAAAAGCTCGGGATCCCCAGACCCGAAAACGCGACGCATCGCCAGCCTCTCCCGTCCAACGCAGTGTCGGAGAAGTCTCGGGCAAGGAGACACGGGGCCAGAGGTTGAGCTGATGCGCAGCGTATCGGACCGCAAACGGCCACAGAAAATGGGGGGCAGCCGCATGACTCAAGGAGGTACGAGCGACCTCCATGACTAGACCAATGCGGCGCTCAGCAACCCCATTCTGCTGTGGAGAGGCCGGAAGCGTGAACGACTGCTCAATGCCCTCCTGCTGACAGAAGGCCTCCAGGAGGCCAGAGGAAAACTCCCCACCTCTGTCAGAGTGCAGACGCAGGACAGGAAAGTCGGAGCGGAAACGCCTGGTGAGCTGGAGACGAGATCTGCGGATCCAAGGGATCAAGACATCAGGTACGTCACCCTTGGCTCGCAAGGGGAAGACCGTGGTGTAGCGCGAGAAGTCGTCAACAACGAGCAGGAAGTACCGCTCCTGACCCTGTCCACGGACGCGGGCTGGGCCCCACACGTCCAAGTGGAGCGTCTGCAAGGGAGCAGTCGTCGGGGGAAAGGAGGAGGAGTGAGGAGCGGCGCGCTGCCGCCCCTCGACACAGGGAATACAGGGAGGAGCAGGCGAGTCGGGAAGGGGAGGGAGCACCCTGGGAAGACCAGCAACAAGGTCCCGTTTGTGCATGGTCCGAAGGCGCTGCACAGACGGGTGACCAAGGCGGTGGTGCCAAAGGACAGTCTCATGCGCCAGAGAGCGACACGAGCAGGGGGCGGAGAGCTGACCTGACGCAGACGCAGACGTAGACGCAGACGCAGCTACCTGAGGGGACACAGTGGTCAGTGTGTACAGGTCCGACCCCGGCTCTCGAGTGAAAGTAGCCAGGTGGCGACCCGTCCGAGCACACGTGCAGTGTGTCACGCGCTCGTAGGCAGGGGTGAACTGGTGAACACCCGAGTCCTGGAGCGCACAACCCGCCACCAAGTTCGTAGAGAACGAGGGGAGGTAGAGACCGGAAAGCGTGCCGGACGGGACCGCAGGACAAGGAAGAACAGTGGAGGAGGTCGCAATGACCGGACCCCCAGAGGGGTCAGCAAGGGAGACAGCAACTGGCCGAGCGAGTGGCTCAAGGACAGTGCGGTCACGAAAGAAAGAGCGAGAGGCACCTGAGTCCAGTGTGAAGGTGTGCAGTGCTGCAGTCAACTCAGTACCAGGGGGCACGGACGCACTAGCACCTAGGGCAGCAGCCTCACCAGGACCTGTGGGAGCAGACGCACTAGCACCTAGAGCGGCAGCCGGACTGGCCTGAATGCCCGGGTCGGGCGGAACACGCAAGTACTGAGCACCCTCTCCACTAATAGATATGATATACATGGCAGTGAGAATAGCATCAAAGTCTAGAGCCCAAATATCGACACCCCTCTTTTCCAGATCAGCCCAGCGCGGCAGCTCAGTGGCATCAGGAAACTGGGTGCGCCACGCGTCGTTAAGGCGCGCGAAGCAGCGGTGCGTGGGGTGCGGCCTCCCACACTGCTGGCCGCTGCGGTCACCTGTGCGAATGACGTACGTGCAGGTAAAGCCACGCTGCGCATACCACTCACGGGCGGCCTGAAGCGTCGGGGCGGGCTGCTGACTCGGGCCTCTGCCAGTGCCTCCACGACCACCACCGCCACCACCACCGCCTCGGCCACCTCCACCCCTGCCGCCGCCACGACCACCTCCACCTCCGCTGCCGCCTCCACCCCTGCCACCGCTCCCGCCGCTGCTGTCTCCTCCCCCACTGCCGCCACTAGCCTCCCCAGTCGCGCCTCCACTCCCACCGCCTCCACCCCCACCTCCTCCGCCACCACCCCCACCCCTGCCTCCCTTGCTCCTGCGGCGCCCGCTCGAAGCAGACGCGGTCCCGACCTTCTCAGCACCAAGGAGGTCGACAGCAGCAGCAGGAGGGGGGAAGGGGAACACCCCTCGAAGAACGGGGTGCGGGGGTCGCCACGAGAGGTGCCTACAGCGACGATGCTCGCCTCAGCTGCAAGCAGTTCCTTCTCGAGGAGGGCAACAGTGAGCTCAGTGGGGGAGCGAGAGAGGAAGTGGTCCCTGACAGCGCGCAGAGAGTCAGGGAGGCGGGTGACGATGTGGTAGAGAGTGATCCAGAGCGGGGGGGGTTGCTAGTGAGAAACTCGGCAGGCATAGCAGCGCGAAAGCGGGCCTCACTAGTCTTAAGGTGGGTGATGAGGTCTGCGACAGTGTGAAAGGAGGCTAGGTCGGGGAACAGGTAGGGGAGAGTGAGGCGGCCTAGCGTAGCAGAAGCGGGTGAGGAGTAGCGGGCAACTACAGCGGTGTAGAGGTCCTTAGCAGTCTTGCACTGGCCGAAGTGCTCGCGCTCGTCTAGCGGCAGGGAGTTGCGAATAGCAAAGCGAGCGTGCGCATCACGAGTCTGCCACTGAGAGCGTAGAGTGCTGTCAGCAGACGTGTCAGGGGCAGTAGCATGGCCTAGGGCGTGGTCGTACAGCGAGATGTCTTCCTTGGCAGTGAGCTGTAGGAACAGGTGCAGGTCATCTAGCCAGGTTTCGAACTTCACCGGACGGCCCTCGGCATCGAAAGCTAGAACGGGAGGACTAGCCATAGTGACAGTAGTAGGAGGAGGAACTAGGCCGCTGGAAAGGTGTGCGTAGGGTCAACGGGACCGGCGGGGCCGCTAGGTAAGGCGCGGGCGGGGTCGACTGTCCGTAGTGGCACACGAGCGGCAGGAGTAGGGAGCGTGGCAGCAGGAGCTGCAACGGCGCACTGGTGGCAGCTGCAGTGGCAGCAGTGTGCGCGGTAGGTAGCGTAGGGGCAGCGGCGGCGCACGGGCAGCGGCGGCGCACGGGCGGCAGCAGTGCACGTGCGGCGACGGCAGGAGGCGGCGGTGCGCAAGCAGCAGCGGAAGCAGCGCACGGGCGGCAGCTGCGTATGCGCACGTGCGGCAGTGGCAGCGGCGCACGGGCGGCTGCGGGCAGCGGGGCGTGCGCGAGCAGGCGACGGGCGGCTGCGGGGCGTGCGCGAGCAGGCGACGGGCGGCTGCGGGGCGTGCGCGAGCAGGCGACGGGCGGCTGCGGACGGGCGGCCTCTGCGACGGCGGGCTGCGGGCAGCGGGGCGTGCGCGAGCAGGCGACGGGCGGCTGCGGGGCGTGCGCGAGCAGGCGACGGGCGGCTGCGGACGGGCGGCCTCTGCGACGGCGGGCTGCGGGCCTGCGGGGCGTGCGCGAGCAGGCGACGGGCGGCTGCGGGGCGTGCGCGAGCAGGCGACGGGCGGCTGCGGGGCGTGCGCGAGCAGGCGACGGGCGGCTGCAGCAGCGGGTGCGTCAGCGTGGCGCACAGGGCAGCGGCGGGCAGTGCGCGAGGCTACGAGGCGCACGGGCAGCAGCGCAAAGGCGCGCGGGCAGCGGGGAGGCAGCGTGACGGGCCGCGCGCGAAGAAAATAAAGCGCGCGCGGGCAGCTGGCGGGGCGCACGCGTGAAAACGGCCGCGCGCGAGCGGCTAGTACGGCGCGCGCGGTAAAAAAAAAGGAAAGCCACGCGCGGGCGGCTAGCGAGCTGCGTGCGCGTGGTAGGTAGGTAAGGAGCGCTCTAGGACGCGTAGGCGCACGAGGCGCACAGTAGGTAGGTAGGTAGGTAGGTGGGCCCTAAGAACAGTCCTAGCGACGGACCTGCTCTGAAACCATGTCAGTGATAACGGACTGGAATGATGAACTAGCAAGAATTGTGAGTACAAATATGAAACCCTAATGTTGTGACCCCCCTATAGGCTAACCCACTACAGCCTACACAAACACAACATATATAATGTTTGACACAGATAGCCGGACACGGAAGCACAGTAGTGGACCGTGCAAGCACTGGGCCCCCAGAGGGGTCAGCCAGTGAGACAGGGACAGGTGCAGGGAGGGGAGTGACTGTGGTACTGTCGCGAAAGAAACAGCGGGAAGCACCAGAGTCAAGTGTAAAGGTGTGCAAGGCCTCAGCAGGCGCAGTACCAAAGAGAGCAGACTCACGAGCACCTAGAGCAGCAGTTGCTATACCAGGATCAGGGGGCACACATAGGTAACAGTCACCCTTAGTAGTACCAACCAGAGCATACATGGCAGTAAGGATAGTGTCATAGTCTAGAGCAAAGATATCCACCTTGTTGCGCAGCAGCTCTAGCCAGTGGGGGAGCTCAGCCTCGTCGCCAAACACTGCACGCCAGGCGTCACTCAGACGGGCGAAGCAGCGAGCCTGTGTGTGAGAGAGCGTCCCGCAAGTCTGACCAGCCCGATCACCTGTGCGAATGACGTACGGGCAGCGGGCAGGTTTCCTACACCCCCCACTCTGAGCGTACCACTCACGAAGCTGCTGGCGCGTAAGGGTCTCGCTCGGACGCCGCTGCAGCTGCATCTGGCCACCGCCAGGAACTCCGCACTGACCAGCTCCACCGCGACTGCCACGACGGCCGCCGCCAGCACACCACCTAGCGTACCACTCACGAAGCTGCTGGGGCGTAAGGGTCTCGCGCGGACGCCGCTGCAGCTGCATCTGGCCACCGCCAGACACTCCCCACCGAACAGCTCCACAGCGACTGCTACTACGGCCGCCACCACTCCCACTGCTGCCACCACCGCCGTCAACACTCCCACCGCTACTACAAAGGGAAGTCATTGCCGGTAAGCGAGGAGGCGCAGAAGCAGCAGCAACAGCAGTAAGAGCAGTAGAGCGGCCCGGTGAGGCTAGGCTGCAGCACCTCTAGCACTCCTAGCAGCACCTCCACCAGCAGCAGTAGTAGCACGAGCAGGAGGGCGGATCGGGTCGGGTAGGGCGGCTCGGCTCGGCCTGGGCTGCGCGGGTAGCAGGGCGCGCGCTGTGTAGGGCAGCAGGGCGCGACGTTCGTGCTGCAGCAGGGCGCGACGCGCAGGGCAGCGCATGGATCATGGACGTACGAGCGACGTCCATGATCATGCCGATGCGGCGCTCAGCAATCCCATTCTGCTGCGGAGAGTCCGGAAGCGTGAAGGTCTGGCGGATGCCTCGTGCGCGACAGAAGGCCCGCAGAAGGTCAGAGGAGAACTCTCCGCCTCGGTCGGAGTGCAGACGCCGAACAGGAAAGTCCGAGCCGAAACTCTCCTGGAGCTGGAGACGAGCTGCGCGGATCCAGGCGATCAACACCTCAGTGACGTCACCCTTGCTGCGCAAGGGGAAGACTGCGGTGTAACGCGAGTAGTCGTCAACCACCAGCAGGAAGTAACGCTCGTGACCCTGTCCACGAACGCGGGCTGGGCCCCACACGTCCATGTGAAGCGTCTGCAGCGGAGCCTCTGTCGGAGGAAACTCGGAGGAGTGAGGGGCAACACGCTGCCGCCCCTCAACGCAGGGAACGCAGGTGGGGGCAGGCCCCGGAGGAAGGGGAGGGAGGGACCGGGGGAGGCCGGAGACAAGAAGACGGGAAGCCATGCCTCGAAGACGAGGCAGGGAGGGGTGACCAAGGCGGTGGTGCCAGAGGAGAGTCCGGTGGGACAGGAGACGACACGAGCAGGGGGCAGACTCAGGACCAGACCTGGACGCCGCAGCAAACACCTGACCCGACGCTGCTACCTGAGCAGACTCAGTGACTGGAGGAGACTCAGTAGTCAGTGTGTACAGGCTCGACCCTGGCCGACGAGCAAACGTGGCCAAGTGGCGGCCCGTGTCCGCACAAGTGCAGTGGGTCACCCGCTGACGCGCAGGGGTGAACTGGTCAACTCCTGCATCCTGGAGGTCAGCACCCGCCACCAAGTTCGTAGAGAACGAGGGGAGGTAGAGACCCGACAGGGAGCCAGACGGGACCGCCGGACACGGTAGGACAGTGGAGTAGTGAGCAAGGACAGGACCCCCAGAGGGGTCCGCCAGGGAGACCGCAACAGGCCGACTGAGCGGCGTGAGAGTGGTGCAGTCTCGAAAGAAGGAGCGGGAAGCACCCGAGTCAAGGGTGAAGGTGTGGGTGTCCGGTGACGACGCAGCACCTGAGAGCGCAAACTCACCGGCACCTGGGGCGGCAGACGCACTGGCACCTAGAGCAGCAGCCTCACAAGTACCTGGCGCAGCAACCGCTATGCCTGGGTCAGGTAGAAAACACCGGTAACAGTCACCCTCATCACTAATAGTCACAGCATACATGGCAGCAAGAATAGCATCATAATCAAGATCATAGATCGCAACACCCGCCCTAGACAGCTCGCCCCAGCGAGGGATCTCAGTAGCGTCGGGGAACTGGTGGCGCCACGCGTCCGTCAGACGGCCGAAGCAGCGCTGGGTGGGGTGCGCGCCCCCACACTGCTCACCCGCCCGGTCGCCGGTACGGAGAACGTAGGTGCAGGGGCCAGCACCCCCGCCCCGCTGACGAGCAGCGTACCACTCACGAAGCTGCTGGGGGGAAGGGGTCTCACGGGTACGCTGCTGCTGCTGCTGCTGGCGCGCACCACCACCGGAGCCAACCCTCTGCGCAGCGCCACCCCGACCAGCTCCACCGCCACCGCCGCCACCACCTCCAGTACCGCCACCTCCGCCACCTCCGCTCCCACCGCCACCGCCGCCTCCACCTCCACCTCCAGTCCCGCCACCGACGCCCCCACCCCCGCCACCACCCCCACCGCCACCCCCACCCCCTCCACCACCTCCACCGCCGCCTCCACCGCCCCCTCCAGCTCCTCCAGCACCCTTGCCCCCCTTGCCCTTGCCAGGGCGGCGTCTCCCGCTAGGGGCAGACGCCGCAGCGACCGACTCAAGACCAACGAGGTCGGCCGCAGCAGCAGAGGCAACAGAGGGCAAGAGGGGGGAGGGGGAGCACCCCTCAAAGACAGGGGCACGAGGGTCACCACGAGAGGCTCCTACAGCGACTATGCTCTTCTCTGCCGCTAGAAGGCGCTCCTCGAGGAGGTCAACGGTGAGGGTGGTGGGGCAAACAGAGAGGAAGTGGTCCCTAACCGGGCGAAGGGTGTCAGGGAGCCGGGTGACTATGTAGTAGAGGGTGATGTACATGGGGGGGGGGTTCTTGGCGCAGAACTCAGCAGGAAGCGCAGCGCGGTAGCGAGTGTCACTAGTGCGAAGGTGCGTAATGAGGTCAGCGACAGTGGGAAAAGCGGCGAGGTCAGGGAAAAGGTACGGCAGGATGAGGCGGCTAAGTGCAGCAGTGGCAGGGGAAGAGTAGCGTGCAACTACAGCGTCGTACAAGGTCTTAGCACTCTTGTACTGGCTAAAGTGCGCACGCTCAGCGGTCGGCAAGTGGTGGCGCACAGCAAGGCGGGCAGCAGCATCGCGCGTGGCCCACTGTGAGCGAACAGTGGGGTCAGCATCAGCAGCAGGGGCAGGAGAGGCACCAGAAGTGAGGTCAAAGAGGGAGAGACCGTCTGCCCTATCGCACTGTAGGAAGAGCTGCAGATCATCTATCCAGACCTCAAAGTCAACAGCCCGACCCTCAGCGTCAAAGGTGAGAACACTGGGGGTGGCCATGACAGCAGTGTGAGCAGTAGGCTAAGGGCAGTGCAGTGACAGAGGCGCTGCTCTTACCGGGCAGGAGAGAGAGACCAAGACTTGTCGGGAATGGCGGCTCGGCGGCAACTGCGGCTCGGCGGCTCGGCGACAACGGCGGCTCGGCGGCTCGGCAGCTCGGCGGCTCGGTGTCTCGGCGGCTCGGCGGCTCAGCGGCTCGGCAGCAACGGCGGCTCGGCGGCTCGACAGCTCGGCGGCTCGGCGGCAACGGCGGCTCGGCGGCTCGGCGATCCGACGGCTCGGCGGTTCAGCGACTCGGCGGCTCGGTGGTAGGGCGGCGTCGGGGTCGCGAGGGGCGGCAGAGCCGCGGACAGGCGGCGGCGTGGTCGCAAGGGGCGGCGACGGGGCCGAAAGGGGGCGGCGACGAGGCCGCAAAGGGCGGCGACGGAGGCCGTAGGAGGCGGCGACGAGGCCGGAAGGGGGCGGCGACGGGGCCGCAAGGGACGGCTACGGTGCCGCGAAGGGGGGTGCGGCGACGGGGCCGCGACGGTCGGCGACGGGGCCGCGAAGGGGAGGGCGGCGACGGGGCCGTAAGAGGCGGCGACGGGGCCGTAAGGGGCGGCGACGGGGCCGTAAGGGGCGGCGACGGGTCCGCGGAAGGGCGGCGACAGGGGTCGCGAGGGCGGCGACGGGGCCGCAAGAGGCGACGGGGCCGCAGAGGGCGGCGTCGGGGCCGCGACGGGCGGCGCCGGGGTCGCGTAAGGGTGGCGACGGGGGGGGCACCAAGGGAGGCGACGAGGTCGCTAAGGGCGGCGACGGGGCCGCTAAGGGTGGCGACGGGGCCGCTAAGGGCGGCTCACCGATCGCGTCTCGGGCAGGGGCGACTCGCGCCCCGAGGAGAAAAAAAAAGACTCGATATTAGTGGGCCCTAGGAAGAAGTTCCCACCAGGGAACCTGCTCTGAAACCGCACCCCGACGGGCATGGAGCACCGCCTCGGTTGATCCCAGACCTTGGCAACCGCTCCTAAGAACGAGTGACGTAACGACCGCCCTCGGCTTTTCCGCGTGTTGCTCGCAACACCGGAGGGACCGGGCGACCTCCTCTCGCAGGAGATCAGGTCGCAGCCCCCTCCCACGCAACTAGCTTAGTAGGCCCGCCATCCCAAAGGCTAGTCGTGATCGGGAGCGAGGCAAGTCGGGAAACACGGTCGGTTAGGGCAGCGGGGTGGCACCCGATGTCCTCTCCGTACCGCACCTCGACGAGCCTCGACACCAGGGAGCCTGCTTCCCGGCGGCACCGGGCGTCCATGCGGAACAAAAACCAAATCCCTTTCCCCCGATGGTAACCGGTCGGACTCTCTCCCAAAAGCGGAAGCACCGGGAAGTTCGACGTCGGACCTAGGACGTATCCTCAGAAAATGGGCTTGCCGGATTCCTCCTCTAACCTAGCGTCCCCCGCCACCGGTGCTCCAATCTCTCTTGGCACCGGCTGGCGTGACTGCGGGGTCTTGCTCGCCCGGCCCTCCGAAATCCTCTTCGGTTGGCTGGGAAGGGGCGCCCGTGGTGATGGCAAGGGACCGTTTCTCAGCCGGGCCCGATCGCAGTGCATCAAGGAGCTGCGAACGGGCACGGGATATAGACCTCTCCGCGATCGGGACTGGCCGTCCGGTCGCAAAACCCTCCCCTTGAGCGGGGCCCCCACGAGCCCCGGCACCTAATAAAAACTGGGACCCCACTCCTGACGATGGATATCTTGGAACCTGGCTCGATGAAGAACGCAGCGAAATGCGATACGTAATGCGAATTGCAAAACTCCGTGAATCATCGAAACTTTGAACGCATGTTGCGCCCGAGGCCTCGGCCGAGGGCACGTCTGCTTGAACGCCACACACATCCAGGTGGAGCCACGCATTCCGCACCCACACCCTCCGCACGCGGCTAACGTGCGGCTGGATGAACGGGACGGAGCTGCCAAAGTGCGCCGGCATACGAGGGGCGCTCGGGCTGTTTTTGCCCGAGACAATCGCCCGTACCTGGGAAAACGAGATGGCCGTCGCAACCCGTGCACAACGGGGGGCAGTCGGCTGAAATCGCAGGGCCGCCGCAAGCCCGTCTCCTCTCCGTCTCGACCCCAGTGCAGATCCCCGGATGCCAACCGGGAGGACGCGAGCGGGACGAGCGCGACGAGGCGGGTGGCGACCCCGCTGGGCCCGGTGAACCCAGCCGGCCAACGGACCCCGTCCGGACCTCCCAGCAGGTGGGGGGGTATCGGATGCCAAACCGGTTCCTCTTTTCCTCTCCCGAGAAGGCCGCGAAACGGAGAAATGGAGTCCGAGGGCGTGGCAACCCTCGGTCTCCGCCCTCCAAAGTAGCGCGCACGGACCGGGCGAGGGGCGGACGGGGCTCGTACTAAAAATGGTCGGACCGGGGAAGAACCGGGCAAACCCCCAAACGATGGCTTCAAGTCAGGCGAGACCACCCGCTGAATTTAAGCATATTACTAAGCGGAGGAAAAGAAAACAACCGTGATTCCTTTGGTAGCGGCGAGCGACCAAGGAAAAGCCCAGGCTTGAAATCCGAGGGCCTCCGGCCCTCCGAATTGTAGTCTGAAAAGGAAGCGTTCTCTGTGACGGGCGCCGCCTCAAGTCCACTGGAAAGTGGCGGCAGAGAGGGTGACACCCCCGTCGGGCGACGACCCGTCACTTCACGAGGCGCATCCGAAGAGTCGGGTTGCTTGGGAGTGCAGCCCCAACATGGGTGGTAAGCTCCATCCAAGGCTAAATACGGCCAGGTTTCCGATAGCGAACAAGTACCGCGAGGGAAAGATGAAAAGAACTTTGGAAAGAGAGTAAAAAGTGCTTGAAATCGTCAGGAGGATAAGCGCATGAGCCCAAGCAAACCTGCGGGACCCGTTCACGCGGGGCCCGGAGGTACGCAGCGCCGGTCGAGGCCGCGGGAAAAGGAGCTCGCTCCCACCGCGGCGGAGACCGAGGATGGCCCTCACGGGTCGGCGCTGGCGAAACGGGCTGATGCGACCCGTCTTGAAACACGGACCAAGGAGGCCAACGCGGCTGCGAGCCAATGGGTTGAAAACCACAATGGCGACAGTGAAAGCGACCCGTGAGAAGGCGGCCTCGTGTTGCCCGCACCACGGACCGCCCCGGGGGCCTCGGCGCCCGGGGTGCGTTGAGTAGTCGCGTTGGGACCCGAAAGATGGTGAACTATGCCTGAGCAGGGCGAAGCCAGAGGAAACTCTGGTGGAGGCCCGCAGCGCTACTGACGTGCAAATCGTTCGTCAGACTTGGGTATAGGGGCGAAAGACTAATCGAACCATCTGGTAGCTGGTTCCCTCCGAAGTTTCCCTCAGGATAGCTGGTGCTCGATACGTGGTTACGTCTGGTAAAGCGAATGATTGGCGGGCTCGGGGGAGAAGCTCCCTCGACCGACTCTCAAACTTTAAACGGGCGAGGAGGGCCGCCATCTTAATTGTGGCTGGCTTTCAGGGGTGCTGGCTGACCCCACCAACATGAGTGCCAAGTGGGCCATTTTTGGTAAGCAGAACTGGCGAGGCGGGATGAACCGAAAGCCGGGTTACGGTGCCTAACTACGCGCTAACCTAGATCCCACAAAGGGTGTTGATTGATTAAGACAGCAGGACGGTGGTCATGGAAGTCGAAATCCGCTAAGGAGTGTGTAACAACTCACCTGCCGAATCAATTAGCCCCGAAAATGGATGGCGCTCAAGCGCGTGAGAAGAATCGAAGCGACACAGCAACCGTCTGAGCAAGGGCGATGCGGGAAGAAGCATTTGAAATGAAAAGAGCGGGAACAGGTTCGAAACCGATTCCCGCGCCGCATAGTTTTTTTTTTTTTTATTTCGCTGCAGTAAGGGAATGTACCCCTTAGAGTACATGGCTAGTCTAGGTCGTTTCGCATTCCTTTGTATTCCTATATAAACCCAATGTATGCATGCTACTATCAATCTCAATCATTTACATTCACTCTGACCTGAGTTCAATACTTCCGCTGCGACACAACCCGCGATCAACCCTGGACGATCCCTTTCTTTTTTCGTTAAGTCCCACTTCAGATTGTAACAAGAACAAACCCTCCCTTGGTCCGAGTCAAGGGGGGTCTTAGCGTGGGGGGCAATCCCGTCCCCCATACTTCCAACAATCCCGAGGGTCACGCGACGAACCTGTTCGACCTATTTCATCGCACCGAACCACTCCCGAGTCGCCTCCGCACCAATCGCAACCATCACCGAGCCATCTTCGCCCGACCTCCTCGCCTAGCTAGCATTTCCCCTATTTTGTCTCGACACTGTCCCCGTATTGTCATTCTGCAGTTCAACATTCTCGTTATTCGTTTTACTGCGCACTCTGCAAGTTCATTCATAACAGTAATCACGTTCTATTTTAGCAAAACCGTTAAAAATGGGGGATTGGAAATTGCACGCCCGATCTGACCGGTGCCTTCAAATGCGGTTTTGTCCTGATGCATAGGCGGTGGAGTGGGGCCCTTCTGAGCGGATCCGATCGCTTTGTCGTTTCTGGTTCAAACTACTGTATCCACCTCACCAGACCGACCAATGACTTTGGCGCAGGTGTCCTCGACTCCCCCAACTGTTTTGCGGCAGAAATGAGTCAATGGGAGGTTGGGGTGAACAATGCTTGACGCTGTTCCGAAGCAATGCGGAGGCAGGGCAGAAGGTATGGGGGGAAGTGAGGGAGTGACGTGAATAGGCAACAACCCTGTATTGACTTCAGATCCAAGGTTTTTTGAATCAACTCCCATGTATTTCACCGGGTAATTTCAGACCCAGTCCATATGACCACATGGTGTGATTTACCTCGGACCTCTTCGAGATGTTTTCAAGGGTGCAAAGATGTTTCAAGAAATAGTGTTCTTGGCGAACTGCTTCGAACCAGCCCCCAACCATTCGCACTTCTAGGCCGCATTTAGTCAAATATCCTACCACTTGCTCCTAGCCATCTTCGTTCCAGCGGGAGGCAGAATTTGACGGGGAATGGGAGCGCTCCCGCTTGCGTTGAGCTCTCCAAAGGCCCCAAACCGTCCCCGAGCTGATGCAGTGCACTGGTTGGTGCAACACGTCATAAGAACCCCTTTAGAAATTTTCAAGGGTACAAATAGCCCTTATGGCATTCATTCCTTTGAAACTTCAGCTGTGGTCTGACTGAGGCTGTACTGGCTGTACATGCCTAGCTGTACCTCGACTCAAGCCCCCCTGAGCGCTCCTCAGCATGCTGACGTAGGGGGCGTGCTGGAAGCTTCGCGACTCCACCTTGCACTTTGGAAACCAAACTGCACCTCCCTCAACGGGGAGGGAGGGAGGGAGGGAGGGTGAGAGGAAACAGATTTGTTCTCATTCCAGCAACTCACAAACGACGGAACATTTTACTTGCCCACCACACACACACACTTCCATTCTAGACCACGAAATTTATGAGTGTTACTGTAACGCGGTGTACAACGCGAGCAGCTGCCACACTTGCTACACAATATGTTCACAGTACGATTCTCCTACACTCTCCAATACATTCTCCAATGTATTCACGCGACGTGCCAAACCAAGTTTTATTTCTCAACTATGGATCACTCTCAAGACGCGTTGAAAGTGCAAATTCGCGGGATCGTCTGCATATTTCGATCCTCACAATCGATTGGCCAGATCGATTGGCGAAACGTGGCGACCGGTCAGTAGTAACGATCGCTCATGAGATTGGGGTTTTTTGTTCCACACCCGAAAATGCTGGCCTGCCTGCGACGCGGGCCCAAATGTACATGCGTCGTCCAAACCCACCTGCGATAGTCGCAGCCCACAGGGCAACAGCGAAGCCCGAGTCGCTGTTGGAAGGCTGCAAAATGTTGACAGTTTGGGCGACTCCAATTTCTGGCTGTGCGAAAACTTACGAAGTGGCATGCATCTGAACCAATCGTGCCAGGTAGGCTCGGTTCACTTGCATCAATGTCGCTTTCATGCCTATCACAGATCTCCCGCTATCAGCGATCAGTCGCATTCACATACTGTACAAGAATTCGGGTTCAAAAACGCGCTGTAGAATGGTTATGGCATAGTAAATAGGGTAACCAATCCGCACATCGATCGCCACTGACGATCACTCGTCTACTTTCAACGCGTCCTCAGGGTGCATGACATCAAGGTCTGTAGTTACAAGCACAAGTGAAGAGAATCATTTGACCATGACCATACTCCAATATCATGAAACATGCACTTTCACCATGTCCGTAGGCTTCTGGGTATGTACAGCATTTGTGAATTTAGGGAGCGGGACGTTGTCCTATAGATTCGGTAGGCCAGGGCCTTGTGACGTGCGAGATTCGAGACTAAGGGGAACCCGTTTGTTCATGGGGCATCATGTGCTAGGTGCTTTGAGATGAGGTGGGTGGTCCAAATCGGGAGGTGTACAGTTCTAGGGGCACCATAAAGCCAAGCTTACAGGCCGACACTGTACATACTGTATTTCCAACAGACTCGTCTCGCGGTTCGGCGACTAACATGTAGGTTGCCATTTTTAGGACAAGCGCAACGAGATTGAGAAAACGGAAGCGAACCTTCGACCAGATCACTTTTGCCACGTCGATTACCGTACGATTCCAGTGGTTGTAGGCGACTTTGCGTGATACTCATATTAGGCTGGGAGGATATAAACAGCAAACTCGTAGGAATAACAGGGTTAGAGGATATTAGGCAGCTCGTATATAGCAAGCCATCGACGCGGTTGTTGACCTGACCTGCTATTGTATCGACTACCGCTCCCCGACGCGACAAACCCTAATTGTGGAATCTGGCCAGACCTGGACGACTTTTCTTGCCACTCCACGCCGCTAGAAAGCGGCAGCATTTAGGGTCGAGGGCACTGTCTATCCGATTTGCATAATCTGTGTACTCTTGCTGCATACCTATCGAGCACTGCGTGGCAGCGAAACCCTAAAAGGGTTGAAAAGTAGAGTAGCATAGCGGGTGCACGCTAGACAGATCCTCGCCATCCATCACAGAAAAAAACCCCTGGCGCCGCAGCTATCGCCAACCGTCGCAGAACGGAGTCGCCGCGTTCCTACAGGTGCCCCGCCAGTCGTCGCCGAAATCTGAAAAGCGTCGCAATTCCTGGAAGGATCCGGGAACATTCCGAGAGTCGCAGGTTCGCCAAGCGGCACCTGAGAGATCGTCCCAGGGTCGCAGTGGATCAGCGGCGCGTCGAATCGCACAGACCCGTGTTTCGCAGGATGCGGTAGGAAGAAAAAATCAAGGAGGTTTGCGAAGTGTCTGTACTCTGGAGGGACGAATTGAAGGAGGCCCGCAGTATGGGGCGCGGGAAGATCGAGATTCGGAAGATTGACAACGCGACGACGCGGCAAGTGACCTTCTCGAAGCGGCGCAATGGGCTGCTGAAGAAGGTGCGGGGGGGAGGGGAGTAAGTGGAGGGGGTGGAAAGTGGGGGGGGTGGAAAGTGGGGGGGGTGGAAAGGGGAAGGGGGGGAGGGAAGAGGAGGCGGAAGGGGGAAAGATTGGGTCTCCACGCAACCCCTGCGCGAAGCGCTCATCCCCTGCTCCCATCCCCTGCTCCCATCCCCTGCTCCCATCCCCTGCTCCCATCCCCTGCTCCCATTCCATGCGCCCGTTCCCTGCGCCCGTTCCCTGCGCCCATTCCATGCGCCCGTTCCCTGCGCCCGTTCCCTGCGCCCGTTCCCTGCGCCCGCTCCATGCGCCGGACCCCTGCGCCCATCCCTTGTGCGCAACCCTCGCGCGCATCCCCTGCATGCATCTCTGCGCCAATCATCCCTTTGTGCCCATCCCACGCGCTCTCCTTGCCCCCACTGCACCTATTCTCTGCGCCCATTCCCTGCGCCCATCCCCTGCGCCCACCTCCTGCGCCCAACCCCTACGCCCACCTCTTGCGCCTACCCCTGCGCCCACCCCTTGCGCCCACCCCCCTGCGCCCACCCCCTGCGGCCACCCCCTGCGGCCCCCCCTGCGCCCACCCCCTGCGCCCACCCCTTGCGCCTACCCCTGCGCCCACCCCTTGCGCCCATCCCCTGCGCCCACCCCCTGCGCCCACCCCTGCGCCCACCCACCTGTGCCCACCCCCGTGCACCCCCTCCGCCCCTCCCCCCCCTTGTGCGGCGGTGCCGTGGCGGCATGGCAGGCGTACGAGCTGGCGGTGCTGTGCGACGTGGAGATCGGCGTCATCATCTTCTCCGCCACCGGCAAGCTCTTCCAATACGCCAGCACCAAGTGAGCGCCACGTCAGCGCCCAGTCAGTACCACGTCAGCATTGAGTCAGTATGACGCCAGCACCAAGTGAGCATCACGCCTGCACCGTGTGAGTCTGACGTCAGCACCAAATGCTCCGTGTGTGCCATGTGCCCATCACCATGCGCGTCTCACCATGCGCGTCTCACCATGCACGTCTCACCATGCGCGTCTCACCATGCGCGTCTCACCATGCGCGTCTCACCATGCGCGTCTCACCATGCGCGTCTCACCATGCGCGTCTCACCATGCGCGTCTCACCATGCGCGTCTCACCATGCACGTCTCACCATGCGCGTCTCACCATGCGCGTCTCACCATGCGCGTCTCACCATGCGCGTCTCACCATGCGCGTCTCACCATGCGCGTCTCACCATGCGCGTCTCACCATGCGCGTCTCACCATGCGCGTCTCACCATGCGCGTACGTCTCACCAGAGTGCACTCATACCGCTGCGGAGCCCTCAGTTTGGGCGACCACGGCCCTCCATGCGTCTTCCTGCCGCACAAACCTCTCCGCCCGTGGCGCTTTCCGTTCGCCTCTCCCCCGCTCTCTTCTGCCTACCCCGACTCCTCCCAACCACCCTCTCCCCCCCCCTCTCCCCCACCATGGGCGCCATAGTGGAGTGCAATCGGCGACTGGCTGGAGAGTGGCGAGGTGGGCCACGGGGCGCGCAAGGTGGGCGAGCATGGGCGTCCATGTGTGGCTGTCATCCTGGATTGCCCAAAGTGTTCCCCCCTTGCCTTCCCTCTTCCGCCTCCCCTGTACCCCCCCTCCCACAGCATGGACGCCATAGTGGAGCGGTACCGGCGGCTGGCACTGGAGAGCGGCAAGGACCACCGCCCGCCGTGGCAGCAGCAGAACCCCCCTCAGAGCACCGGCCTTGCCACGCCTCTGCAGCATGGCCTGCAGCAGCGGCAGTGCAAAGAGCAGCAGGGCGAGCAGCAAGCGAAGAAGCTTCAGGTGCAGCAGGTGGAAGGCAAGGCGACGGCCATGCCTCAAGGAGTGCTGGTATGCAGCCCTTCTCGCCTCAAGGAGTGCTGGTATGCAGCCCTTCTCGCCTCAAGGAGTGCTGGTATGCAGCCCTTCTCGCCTCAAGGAGTGCTGGTATGCAGCCCTTCTCGCCTCAAGGAGTGCTGGTATGCAGCCCTTCTCGCCTCAAGGAGTGCTGGTATGCAGCCCTTCTCGCCTCAAGGAGTGCTGGTATGCAGCCCTTCTCGCCTCAAGGAGTGCTGGTATGCAGCCCTTCTCGCCTCAAGGAGTGCTGGTATGCAGCCCTTCTCGCCTCAAGGAGTGCTGGTATGCAGCCCTTCTCGCCTCAAGGAGTGCTGGTATGCAGCCCTTCTCGCCTCAAGGAGTGCTGGTATGCAGCCCTTCTCGCCTCAAGGAGTGCTGGTATGCAGCCCTTCTCGCCGCCCGCCCCCGCCATGCCCCTCCCACCCCGACCCTCACTCCCTACCTTCCTCCACCCCGCCCCTCCCTCCCTCGCCTCCCATCACCCCCCTCTTATTCTTTGACTTTCACTCGCGTCTCCTCCTCTGCCTTCTCCTCGCCTTCCATCTCTCCTCCCTTGTCGTTTCTTTCGTGGCCTCCCATCTCATCCGTGCCCACCTCATTTCTTCTTCTCCTTCCTCCATTTCTCCTTCCTCCATTTCTCCTTCCTCCATTTCTCCTTCCTCCATTTCTCTCCCCTGCTTTCTATGTCCTCCTTCACCTCCATTTCACCCTCGCCTTCGCGCCCCTTCTTCTCACTCCCCCCCTCTCTCTCCCCATCGATGTTCCTTCCCGCTCACCTCCTCCGCTCTCTCCCCCACCGTTCCCCTCCGTCCTCTGTCACGCCCCTCCCCCGCGCTTGGCATCCTCTGTGCGCGCAGGCACTCAAGGAGGCAGCAGAGCAACAGAATGAGCCGCGCGACTTGGAGGTTTCAAGGTGCACTTTCGTCCTCTTCATAACGCATCATCCTCTATCGTGTCATGTTATACTGTTTTATATTCTGCCTCGCTTTTTGTGTTGTGTAACACATCATGCAGGGGAACCGTAGGCTCTCATTCCATGTCAAACAATCAAACATGTAACCACTCCGTGCGCTCGTTTGCCTTTCTCCTAGCAAGCAGCACTCACGGCCCTCCTTACCTGCCTGCACTCTAGGCCACGCCCCGACTCCCGGGCCGGCCCTGGCCCGGTGCGTGAGCATGTTTAACGTACCCGCGATACTTGCGTTGCATGGTGTGGCGTGAAAGGGGGTCGTTGTCTTGGCGCTGGGCAATGGGGTTCATCAAGTGGCGCGTTCAGCTCCACCCGATTCGCTGCGCAGGCATCAGGAAGATAGGCTTGACCTACAAGCCAGGTCGGGCTGGCCTGATCCGATCAGACCCGGGTTTTTGCCCCCGGTTGAATTACAACCGTCCATCATTCCTTGATGCATTGACACTCCTGTATATTTCCTTCCCCATCCGCCATCCCCGTTTCTCCTCCCTTCTCCTCCACCCGCTACCCCACAACTTCTGGGTTGCAGGCTGCGAGATCAACACTCAAAGGCGCTTGCTTGCCTGGACACGTCAGCGGAGTCGTTTGGAGGGCTGGGATTGGATGAGATGAGACGACTGGAGAAGCAACTAGAAGACAGCCTCTCTCAACTGCGGGAGAAAAAGGTGGGAGCGGGAGGGTGGGAGGGAAATGAATGTGAGGGAGGGTGGGAGGGAAATGAATGTGAGGGAGGGTGGGAGGGAAATGAATGTGAGGGAGGGTGGGAGGGAAATGAATGTGAGGGAGGGTGGGAGGGAAATGAATGTGACTGCTGCCTTGTCCACCACCCATGCCACTGCCACTCACATCAGACGCCACTGCTCATGCTCATGCTCATGCATGCTGATGCCACACCCCTTGTGTGTCCGCTATGGCCCACTGTGCGCGCGTGTGTGGCAGGAGGAGCTGTTCCACCGAACCATCTCCCATCTCAAATCGCGGGTGTGTTGTGTTCCTCTGCCTGCTGCCTCGTTGCCCGCTTGCATGCCTCTTTTCCAGCCAATTTGCTAGCTGGGCTGCCCTGCCCCGTCCCCGCTTGTGTGTCTTGCTGTATCGTCTATGCTTCTTCCTTTCTAATCCCTGTGCCTTGTCCCGTGCCTTGTGTTGAACCATGAGCAGCTGGAAAATCAGAGCAAGGCTGAGGCGCGAGCAGGGGCGGATGCAGGCGGCGAGGGGATGGGGGGCACAGCAGGTGTGGGGGCGGCGAGTGCAGGGGATGACGCCGAGCGTGGAGGCAGATCGAGGGCGGGGGAGGGAGGGGAGTGTCCGGGGGTAGACAAGGAGGGACACCGTGGGGAGGCGGATGGGCAGGGCAGTGGGGATGGGGACCGGGTGGGGTGTGAGGAGGATGATGACGGGGGGGATGAGCGGGGGGATGGTTTGGAGGATAGGGATGGTGATGATTGCACTTACCCTGATGCTGCTGCCCCTCAGGCTGCAGCATTGCCGTGCACAGCCATGGGGGTGGATGAAGGGATGGAAGGGGGGGTGGATGAAGGGGTGGATGAGTTGCAAGATAGTGACTCCGATGCCGACGATGACGATGACGCCATTCACCATGGCCTCCCATTGCTCGGATCCACCCGCCACACCCATGCCGTGTCTGCCCATCCATGGCGCCAACCATCCCACCCGCACAGCCATGTGCATGGCACCTCGCATGCACGTGGCAGCGGGCGGTCAGCATGTGTGCCGGTGGGGTATGGCAGTGGGCATTCACGCAAGCCACCACCACACTTGCCACGCGCCATGTCACCTCACCGCTCTGCACCGCTATCTGCAGTTTATGCTACCAGTGAAGGCTACTGCTGCTGCGGCTGCTGCTGCTGCGAGCGGAGTTTCAGCGCTGGCGGAGGCAGCTGGGGCGATGGTGAAGCAGGAGGCGCTGGACGCGGCAGAGGCGCACGGCACGCTCCATGCCGCGCCTCTTCCTCCCCCTGCTGCTCAACCACTGCACGCCACAGCAGCCCGCGTGGGGATGGGCGCAGATGAGCCAGAGGGCGCACTGAGAGGCGATGCGGCAGCGGGTGCAGCAGCAGCAGCTGGTGGTGGCGCTGACACTGACGTTGCAGCATGTGCAGCAGCAGGGGAGAGAGCAGCTAGGGAGGGTGCGTGTGAGGTCTTGCCTGCGGGGTTGTTGAGAGGCAGAGAGCCCACGCATGGGGTTGGAGGCAACGGGGTGTCGATAGTGGAGGCCTTGTTGCGAGGGAAGCGCGGTGCAGATGACCAGCTGGTGCAAGAGAAAACGAAGCTGCTGAGAAGGTTCTGGATAGATCTGGAGGGGGGTGAGCAGGGGCAGGAGAATGGGGAGCGTGAAGAGGGTGTGCAATCCAGAGCGCATGGAGGGGACAGTGGCGAGCGCGTGGAGATGGGGTGGACGAGCAGCGCACCTGCTCATGCGCGGGTGGGCTCCCAGGGTGCCGCGTGTGATGCCGCTGCTGCTGATGCACCAATGCACGCGCTGCAGCATGCACGCAGCAGCACTGGTGCTCCCAGGCCTGCTGGTTCTGCCATGCCGCATGCCACGCCACCCGAACCTGTTCCTGCTTGTGCTGGGCTCGAGCAAGAGGTGCGGAGAGAGCAGGAGGAGAGAGCGGAGGGGTGTGGCCCTTGGCAGCTCCAGCAGCGGCTGCTCCTGTTGCACCACATGCAGCAGCAGCTGCAGCAGCACACCCAGCCGCAGCAGCGGCGTCAGGATCAGCAGCAGCAGCAGCAGCAGCAGCAGCAAAACAACATGCTAAAGCCTTTGAAGCAACGGGACTGGTTAACAGGCTTGCAAGAGAAGCAGCAAGAGGCGGTGATGCAAGCGGGGGAGGGGAGAGAGGAGCGCGCATGTGGAGGGCCGTCTGCTCAGCAGCTTGGTAGCAAGGGCGGCAATGGAAGGGGTGGTGAGGTGCTTGGTGGGATTGGAGGGTCACGCGAGCAGTGTCAACAAGCAGTGTGGCAGCAGGAGGAGTCGAGGTATGGTGCTGCAGTGGAGAGCAGAGTGCAACAAGGCGGGCCGATGCAGCTGGGCAGCTTCTCTCTGCCGCCTGCTGCCAGCGCCCCTGCAGCCCACACAGCGGCCGCTGGGCCCCCTGCAGTGAACAATGTGTTCCCAGCAGTGCCCAGTGCGTTTCCTGTGATTGGAAGTGGCCCACAGCAGCACAGGGGGCTGCCTCAAACGGATCTGAACATCGGGTAAGCTTCATGCGCGCGTGATGTCGTATCGATGTCCTTCATATTGTGGCTGTGGTGCGAATTCCCTTCATATTGTGGCCCCAATATGATGCAATCACTAGCTTCTAACACCTCACCTCTCTCCCCCACAACCTCTATTCTCCTTGTTCGCATCATGATTGAATGCGCGCAACGATTGAATGTGCGCAACGATTGAATGCGTCATGATTGAATGTGCATCACAATTGAATGTGCATCACAATTGAATATGCATCATGATTGAATGTGCATCATGATTGAATGTGCATCATGATTGAATGTGCATCATGATTGAATGTGCATCACGATTGAATGTGCATCATGCAGGCTCTACGGCGCTTTTGATGATGATGGGCTCACACCATATGAAGGGCCCTACTAGCATTTATTCGTTTGTACAATATTATGCTCTTCATCGTTCCAGTTTCCAGTCATCATTCCTTTCCTCTCATTTTGTGGTACTTGCGGTAATATGTAAACCCTGAATTGCAGTTTCAAACCACTATAATTATGGCTTGGGTATGGGTGCTTTATTGGGAAACTGGTATGCCTCTCCCTCTTACTCACAGGGCGCAGGAAAAAAAAAAAAAAAAAAAAAAGGAAGAGAAAAGAAAAACATTTTTGTTGAGTTCATAATTTTATGAAGCATGTTAGATGTTGGAACGTTCGTTATAATGTGCCATGTTTCACGGACCCGAACCGAACAGGGTTTCACAGATGTCCATCCACGTTCGGGGTCGGGGCCAACCTGTCCCGTTTCGGGTTTTGCTTATCCCCAGTACCAGGCCCTGAGAGATTTTAATCGCCAGCACTTGTCCTATGACTTTCGCCTCTCGCAAAAACAGGGTAACCGCTTAAAGGTCCTCATGGGATGCATGACCAAGGCTAGATTCGCTGAGGGAACCTTCGTTACAAGCCATGGAGGCGTTATCTTATATCGCGTACACGCTTGCCGTGGCGGTGGTCTTGGCGTTTGGCCTGGGCGCGTGCGCGTATGCGGCGCATCGGGAGAAGCTGCAGGGAGGGCCCGACTCGCCTGATTTCTTCCTCACTGCGCGCCGATCCGTCAAGACCTCCATGGTCGCATGGTGCGTCGCAGGGGTCGCACGACACGATCGTCTGGTCGCACGGTTCCGCAGTAGCTGATGCCACCCCAACCCTGTCACCCTGTCAAGCCCGCCGTCGCCTCGCCCCTCGCCTCCCGCGCGCTCGTCGCCGTGCCCTCTCCGCTCTCCCGCATCGCACCACCCACCATCCACCACCCACCATCCACCACCCACCATCCACCACCCACCATCCACCACCCACCATCCACCACCCACCATCCACCACCCACCATCCACCACCCCCCCGTCACCCCCGCCGCTCCCTCCGCGCTGCATCGCGCCGTCGCGTCCATCCGCTGCCCTTCCTCTCCGCCCCTCCCGTGAGTTCCGCACGCTCTTGCTCCGCCCACCTGCCATCCACTTCAATCCACACCCCTCTCCACCCCTCTCCACCGCTCTCCACCGCGCGCAGGTCGTTTTTCGCGTCGGCAATGGGGTCGTGGGCGCTGTTCGGGCCGCCCAGCTACTGCCTGACGGCGGGCGCGACGGGCACGGCGGTGTACGCGCTGTGCGCGGGGCTGCCCGTGCTGCTCGTCGCGTGCGTGGGCGCCGCCGTGCAGCGCCGCGTGCCCAACGTGGTCTCCATGGCCCACTATGTGCGCCGCCGCTTCGGCCTGTGAGTGGCGCTTCGGCCTGTGGGTGGCGCTTCGGCCTGTAAGTGGCGCAAGGCGCCACTGTACCTCCAAATAGGGGAGAAGGGGAGGGGTCTGGGAATGGGTGCCTGCGGGAAGATTGCGTGAGAGGCGGTGTGCTGCTTGGTGCGTGGTGTTGGGAAGGTGGGCGAGTGGGTGGGGCGAGAGTCCGCTCATGTCTGGGAGCACGCGGATGGGAGGGTGAGATGGGTGTGGGGTATGATGATGCCTTGGCGGGGTTATGGTGACGCATGGGCAGACACGCTCACGGCTATATGAGAGGGAGAGGGGCAGAGGGGCGTACGCCACGCCACGGCTGCGTGCCCGGCACGGATGAGTAGCGGTGCTGCCTCAACACACACCTTGTGTCTTGCACCCACTGCCCTTCCTTTCCGCAATCCCCCTTCCTTCAACCTCTCACCCCCACCCCTCTGCGCAGCCCATTGGCGGTGTACATATCGGTGCTGGCGGTGGGCAACATGGGCGTGGCCATGGCAGCGGAGTACACGGCGCTGGGCGACCTCTTCCACCGCCTGCTGCACGCCCCCCGCCTGCCCATCGTGCTGCTCGTCGCCCTCACCGCCATGCTCTACACCGCTGCAGGCGGGCTCTACGTCTCCATCGTCACCGACCAGTGGCAGGTCGCCCCCTCACTGCTCTGCCGGCCTCTCACAGCTCACTTGCTCCATCCATCATGCCCTCCCCAGCACCGCACCCCCTCCCGCTCCTCCACTCATTCACTCGCCATTAACACTGCCTCCCCTGTCGGCCTCCTTCTCGCCACCCTCTTCTTCATCCTCCATCCCTCCATCCATACCTCTTGCCCAAACCCCTCTCCCCCCACTTCCCCCTCTCCCCCTCGCCCCCAGCAGGCCCTGGCGAGTCTCCTCGTCACGGCACTCCTCACGGCGCACGTGCTGCTCAACTTCCCCTCGCCGCTGCCGCCGCTGCCGCCCGCGCTGGGGTGGTGGAACCCGCGGGGGGTGGAGGCGGTGCTCTTCATGCCGCTCTCGCTGCTCGCCACCACGCTCTTCAACGAGGCCATGTGGCAGCGGTGAGACGCGTGTGGTAGCTGAAGAGTTGTTGGCATGTGGAAGGCAGACATGAATTAACAAGATCATGGCATGTGGGAACGTGGGAACACCGCTGCCACGTTGCGTCACTTCCTCAATCCTCACCTCCGTATGTCTCTTCCCCCTCCCTGTTTCATGTCTCTCCTGCCGGTCTCATGCATCTCCCTGGACCACCCCTCCCCTCTCGCACGCTGCTCTCCCCGCCACCTCCAGCTGCTGGGCGTCAGCCAGCCCTGCGGCGCTGCTGTGGGGGGCAGCGCTGGGAGCCACCGCCATCACGGCCGTTGTGGGGCTACTGGGCTTCGCCGGTGAGACCACTGCTGCCGCCCTGCTGCCGCCCTGCTGCCGCCCTGCTGCCACCCTGCTGCCGCCTTCCTGCTATGCTATTCCCATGCTGCTGCCGTGTGCTGCCGTGTGCTGCCACTGTGTGGCTACACTATTACCACTGCTCCCTTTCTGCCATCCCCTCTTCCACACCTCTCTCTCAGTATTTTTGTCTTGGAACGCTGAAATCATATCAACTCGCCTCTCCCAACCATCTCTGCCTCCACTGCAGGTCTGCTGGCAGCGTGGAGCGGTGTGTACGAGCCACAAGGCCCCGGCGACAGCGGCAACACCATTCTCTTCTCGCTGTTCCGCGGGCACCCGTGGGCGCTGGTGGCGGTGGCACTACTGGCCGTGACCATGAGTGAGTCCGCCGTCGATTCCCTTCAGAACGCCACCGTCGACGCCGTCGCCGCCCTCCTGCTCGCCCCCGCCACGCGCTGCAACGACAGCAGCCGCCTGCGAGGCAAGGAGGGCAGGCAGGGGGCTGAGCAGCGGCAGGAGGAGGCGAGGCTCACACAGGTCAAGTGCACGACTCATGCTGAGGCAGGGGGTGAAGGGAAAGGTGCATCCCCACGCATGGACCCATGTCTCCTTGCTGCACCTCCCACCGTGCACCTGCCACCTCCCCCCTCTGCCACTAATTCTGAGCCTGACCCCATCCCATCCGCGCTGGAATCAGCCCCTCCCCACCACGGGTCTGCCCTCAGCATCTCCTCTATCCGAGCCCTCGTGCTCATCCTCAATATACCGCCGCTGCTCGTCTCGCTACAGGGCTTCAACGTGCTACAGCTCTTCCTCCTGGTGAACCTCATCAACACCACGTCCTTCCTGCCCCTGCTCCTCGGCGTGCTGCAAGGCCCCCTCTCCCGTGTCTGCATCACCCCTGCATCATCCGCAACTGGCTGTGCCTCCGGTCTTGTCGCTCTGGTTGTGTGGGCCAAGGCACAGCAGCGCCCAGGGGAGACCTATGTTGACTCTCTCGCCAGGACGTTTCTTGATGCATATGATTACCCTCCCTATCTGGTTGCTGTAGGTTTCTCCGCTGTAGGGATGGCTGTAGGTGCGGGTGTAGAGTGGGTGGTTAGGTATCACTGGAGATTAGCGTACCCTGCTTATGACTTGGATGATGGCAAAGAAACCGAGTTAGAGGAGTCAAGAGCTTTATTATGAAATTGATATACGGTACCGGTATTGTATTTCTTAAAGGGCAACACCCAAATTGCTCAACGAAGTCAACGCGGGAAAAAATGGTTCGGAAAGGCAGGCAGTTGGAGATTCAGAAAACTTCCGAAACCCTTTGGCCCTGAACCCAGTATGGGCGAGACACAAACTGGGCCCAGTTTGTGAAGGCCTTTCTGTAATTCGGGGCTGGGCTTTGATGTTTTACGTTTCAGTCATATGTACCATCCGTTATCCTTCACCTGGAATCCCAAATAGAGACCTGTACCTAATGTAGGCCTGCACCTCTATCCTGGGTGACAGACACGGTACCACCACCTTCATCCAAAAGATCGGGTTAGAGCGTGTTCCTATCAGGCAACCTCGTATCAATTTCGCGTCGAACCGCACTAAAACGCATCCAACCGCAGTCGAACACACTGAAACGCATTTCACCACGCGAATCTGGTACGAGGTGTAGGAACGCGCTCTTATGCCGTAGTACCGTATAAAGGATTGTCGCCACTCCAGGTTTGCTGCCACCCTTCCGGCAAGAGCCAATAACTTTGCAGTGAAACTTTGCCTGTCAGAGGTCCACTGGTGATCCCCGATTGATCCTAGGGAAGGGTTGCAGGCAGGGGTTATTTTCCGTTTTTCACTACTCGGATTTTCAGGGTTGTTTTTTTGGAAACTCTAAAATTCAGGGTTGATCCTGAGCGTTACTCTGACTTGTCAGAGAAAACCATACTTCTGAAAATTAAAACCCTGTGCCTTCAGTGCAACTATACTCTCTACCCTCGGATGATCTTCCTAAGTATTGAACCCTGCACCTTCGCATCCTCACAAATAAGCACGGACCGTTGTGCTACTTTCGGACGGTTGGTCGCACACTGCAATGTTTTTAAAAAGTTGTTTTACATTCGTGTGATTGACCATCTAACGCATGGAAACAGGGAGGGTACGCTTGGCTTGCCTGTACCCCGTACAGAGGAAAAGGTAATCTCCTGAAAATTACACAGAGGCATCAGAGTCCTTTACAAGATTACTCTGACAAATCAGAGAAAGAGTAACTCCCAAAAAAATTACCCAGCAAGTACAGAGTACCCTATCAAAAACCACTCTGATTTTCAGAGAAACAGAGTAATTTACTCTGATAAAAAAACCCCTGGTTGCAGGCACGTCGGCCTGGGCGGTCATGGGCGCACTCACCCGCTACACAAATAAGCCCTTTTATCCCAGTGGTTAGTGGTTGGGATTCTGACATGGTATCAGAGCGAAGGTCAGAATGTGATGTTTGTCTAGCCTGCAGTGGGGTACTCTATAGCGAGTACAGCCCGAATTAGGGTTTGCTATATGTACTCAACTGCCTGCTAGTGAAAAGCCCTCTTTCCTGTTTCTCGTTTCTGCCTGCTGTTCTTCACATGCTATCAGAGCAGGTCGACCCTCCTGGGTCGATCCAGTGGGTGGTCCCATCCGATGCTTCCGCTGCTGTTCTGCCTATCGCACGCCCTGGGCGCGCGATGTTTGCTGCCTGCCGCGCGCTCAGGGCGCATGGTGTTGAGCGCGCGGCGGTTTTCTGCCCCGTCGACCCGCGCGTCGCCCCCCGTAGACGGTCGCGTCGCCTCCTGGGAGCCCATCGCGTCACCCCGCAGGCCTGCGCGTCGCCTCCGCTGCCCCGTCGAGGCGCCCTCGGGAACCGCGCGCGCCCCCCGCAGACTCGTCGCGACGCCCTGGGGAGCCGCGCGCGGCCCCCCGCTGCCCCGTCGCGGCGCCCTGGGGAGCCGCGCGCGGCCCCCCGCTTCCCCGTCGCGGCGCCCTGGGGAGCCGCGCGCCATCCCCCGAGCTGCTGCCCGCGCACCGCCCCCCGGTGCTGCCTGTGTTAGGGTTTGGGGGTGGCGAGCGTGGGGGTGGCAAGTGTGGGGGTGACGGATGTGTGTGCGCCATCCCCTGCTCCTCCTCCTCCTCCGTCTCCCACTGCTGCAGCTACCGCTGAGGGGGGTGGATGTGTTGGAGCCGTCGGAGTGGTACGAGGGGGGTGGCGTGTGAGCAGTGCTAGAGGTACAGCAGGGGGTGTGTGAAAGGGGTGTGGGACAGCTGGGGGAAGTTGAGTGGAGGCAGCCGTCTTGTCGTCCGCAGCGCCTGTAGTCCAGAGAGCCAGCTGCGTCTGTGGCCGTGTAGTCCGGGGCTCTGCGCCTGGTAGCCACAGTGTGAGCACTCCTGGTAGTCCAGAGAGCCAGCTGCGTCTGTGGCCGTGTAGTCCGAAGCTCTGCGCCTGGTAGCCACAGTGTGAGCACTCCTGGGAGCACAGAGAGTTAGCTCTGCTTGTTGCCGTGTAGTCCGGGGCTCTGCGCCTGGTAGCGACAGTGCTGCGCACTCCTGTTGCCCGTGTGTCTGCAGCTTCAGCCGTCGCCTCCCATCTTCTCGCCCCCACAGTTTCTCCTCCTCCTCACTTGCCCTCTGTGATAGTCTCTAGCTTTGCTTATCATTGTGAACTACTGCTCTGCCTGCTTGTTGTGTTGATTGTACCCCACTTTGACTATGGGGGTGTGTCAGAATGTGATGTTTGTCTAGCCTGCAGTGGGGTACTCTATAGTGAAAAGCCCCTTTCCTGTTTCTTGTTTCTGCCCGCTGTTCAGTAGGAACACGCTCTTATACCGTAGTACCGTATAAAGGATTGTCGCCACTCCAGGTTTGCTGCCACCCTTCCGGCAAGAGCCAATAACTTTGCAGTGCCGACTTTGCCTGTCAGAGGTCCACTGGTGATCCCCGATTGATCCTAGGGAAGGGTTACAAGCGTGGGGGGTTATGGGCGCACTCACCCGCTACACAAACAAGCCCTTTTATCCTAGTGGTTAGTGGCTGGGATTCTTACATTGCCAGCACATTTGACAGATTTGCACGGGAGGAAAGAGCATATACCGTATATTTTGCTAGGTTTTCACTTAGAACGGTGTAATCAGGTTTTGTTATTGACGTTTTTGTGCACTCTGTTACGATCAAAAACTGATCGACCCTAAGATCACCTCAGGAAGGTTCGCGCACAACAGAAAGAGTAGTGGTGGGCCCTTGACCTCAATAGCAGAGTGAATGTAAGATGCTTGAGATGAAATAAAACATGCAGATACAGTGGTATAAATATGAGTACAGGGGAATTCGAATCGTCCTAGCTAGCCATGTACTCTAAGGGGTACATTCCCTTATTCAAATTCGAATCCAACCGTGCGGCGCGTACAGTTACGAAACTGTTCCCGCCAATTCCCTTGTTCCTGCAGATGCTCGATTCCGTTTGCCTCCGGCGGTCTGGATTCACTCCAACTATTCAACCTGCCTTTGAGTCAGCTCTGACTCTTCGTGTTCGTGCCTCGATACTGCGTGCTTCGCTTCCTTCGGTTAGGAGTGCAAAGTCATCTTTCACCATTCGTAACACACTCTCTTCCTTGTACAGCTGTCATATTTTTTCTCGATATTCCTTACCGCGACCGTCAACATCGCATACAGTAACAGTCGTTGTTCGCCCGTTACTGCTAACGGGGCTTCGCCAACTTCGCGCGCACTGTTTCACCAAACCATGTCAAACTATACATGTGTTAGTTCTATGTAGGCGATAGTGAGGTAGCCCATATGGGGTACAACCCAAAGTTAGGGTTAGTACTTGTACCCACATTTCATTCAATGCAGTCATTACTGCTTAGTATTTTGACATGGTTTCAGAGCAGTAGGTCCGTAGGACCCTTTTTTTTCGGGCCCGCCATTCCGACTACGGTTACCGCGTTACCCCACTGCCCTGCCCCGCGTCGCGCTGCCCCGCGCACGCCACCTGCGCGCTGCGCCTACTAGCCGCGCGCCACTGCTGCAGCGCGCGTTTTCTCTAGCGCGCTGCCCCACCTGCGCCCCGCGCGCTGCCCCGCCGGCCGCCTGTAGCCCCGCGCGCCACCTGCCCTTTCTACAGCTGCCTGCTACGCCTCGTGCGCCGCCTGCCCCGTGCGCCGCCTGCCCTGCTGCCGCGGCCGCCCACTACGCCCTGCGCATAGCCCGCCCTGCTGCCCTGCCGGCCGCCCGTAGCCCCGCGCGCCGCTTGCCCCTGCTGCGGCTGCCTGCTACGCCCCACGCGCCACGCGTTACGCAGCCCCGTGCGCCGCCCGCCACAGCCGCGGCGCCCGCCCTGCTGCCCTGCCGGCCGCCTGCAGCCCCGCGTGCCGCCTGCCACAGCCGCGCCCGCCCGCTACGCCCAGCGCGGCGCCAGCCCTGCTGCCTTGCCGGCCGCCTGCAGCCCCGTGCGCCGCCTGCCTCAGCCGCGGCCGCCTGCAGCCCCGTGTGCCGCCTGCCTCAGCCGCGGCCGCCTGCTACGCCCAGCGCGTTGCCTGCCCTGCTGCCCCGTCGGCCGCCTGCTGCCCCGCGCGCCGCCTGCCACTGCTTTGGCCGCCCGCTAGGCCGTGCTCGCCGCCTCTGCGCCTGCCCCTACTGCAGCCGCCCGCTTCAGCCCAGCGCGCCGCCCCTGTTGCTGCTGCTTCTTGCCTGCAATCGCTCTGCCCTGCCAGTCCCGCGCCAGCAGCTATGGCCACCCTATGCGTTCTGTCGTTCGATCCTGAGGGCCGCCCGATTCAGTTCGAGACCTGGCTCGATGACCTGCAGCTGTTCCTAATGAGCGATAGCAAGGACAATGTCTCTCTTTTTTACCACACGTCTGGTGCCTCAGTCGCTCCTGCTGCCACAGCTGAGCTTAGCGCCCGTTCCCAGTGGCAGACTCGTGATGCTGCTGCTCGCCTAGCCATTCGCAACCACCTGCCGTTAGCCGAACTCACGCATTTTGGCGAGCACAAAACCGCTAAGGCCCTGTACGACGCTGTAGTTGCTCGATACTCCTCCCCTGCCACTGCTGAGCTTAGCCGCCTCATGCTGCCCTACCTGTTTCCTGAGCTGTCCACCTTTGCCACAGTTGCCGATCTCATCACCCACCTTCGCACTAGTGACACTCGCCTTCGCGCCACCCTCCCCAAAGAGTTCTGTGCTAAGAACCCGCCTCCGATATACGGGACCCTCCACTTCATAGTCACCCGTCTCCCTGACTCTCTTCGCTCAGTCAGGGACCACTTTCTCGCTCGCTATCCCACCGATCTCACTGTCGACCTTCTAGAGGAGCACCTCCTTGTAGCACAGAAGAGCATTGTCGCTGTAGGTGCTGCTCGTGGCGCTCCTCGCACCCCCATCTTTGAGGGGTGCTCTCCCTCTCCCCTTGCCCCCTCCTACTGCCGCTACTATTGACTTCCTTGGTGCTGAGTCTGTTGGTGCTGCTTCTGCTCCTAGTGGGAGGCGCCGCAGCGGCAAGGGCAAGGGAGCCAAGAGTAGCGGAGCAGGCACCGGAGGTGGTGGTGGAGGCGGTGGAGGAGGAGGAGGTGGCGGAGGGAGTGGTGGCGGGAGTGCTGGCGGGAGTGGTAGCGTCGGTAGCGGCGGTGGAGGCGGTGGCGGCGGAGGGGGTGGCGGCGGCGGTGGCGGCGGCGGTGGCGGCGGCGGCGGTGGCGGTGGAGGTGGCAGTCGGGGTGGAGGCACTGGCGCTGGCCAGAGACAGCAGCAGCAGCAGCGTCCCCAGACACCCCAGCAGCTTCGTGAGTGGCTTGCTCAGCGTGGGAAGTCTAGGAGTGGTGGTCGCTGCCCGTATATCATTCGCACAGGTGACCGCAATGGTCAGACATGCGGAAAGTTCCACACCCAGCACCGCTGCTTCTCCCGCCTTGACGACGCCTGGCGTGAGGAGATGGGCGAGGGCGCTGAGCGCCCTCGCTGGCATGAGCTGCTTAGGGCTGGTATAGACATTTTTTCTCTTGACTATGATGCTATTATTGCTGCCATGTATCAATTGGAGGTTAGTGCTGAGGGTGACTGCTACTTGTGTGTGCCGCCTGACCCCGGTATAAAGGCTGCTGCTCTAGGTGCTAGCGAGTCTGCTCTCTCAGGTACTGCGCCTGCTGAGGCCTTGCACACCTTCACGCTTGACTCAGGTGCTTCCCGTTGTTTCTTTCGTGACAGTACTGCACTCACACCACTCACTGCACCTGTTGCAGTCTCTCTGGCTGACCCCTCAGGGGGCCCAGTTCTTGCACGGTCCACCACTGTGCTTCCGTGCCCGGCGGTTCCGTCTGGCTCACTGTCAGGCCTCCACCTGCCCTCGTTCTCTACGAACTTGGTGAGCAACGCAGTTCTCCAGGACCAGTGGGTTGACACCTTTACCCCTGGAGGACAGCATGTGGCAATCTGTACGTGCTCCCAGACCGGCCGTCACCTGGCCACGTTCACTCGTCGGCCAGGGTCGAGTCTTTACACACTGACGACTGCGTCTCCTTAGGTAGCTGCTACTGGTCAGGTGTCTGCGTCAGGTCAAGTAGCCTCCCCTTTTTTGTGTCGCTCCCTGTCGCACCAGACTCTTCTCTGGCACCACCGTCAAGGTCACCCCTCCTTGCCACGTCTACGTGGCATGCACCGTCGCCTCCTTGTGTCTGGTCTTCCCAGGTCTCTCCCTCCCCTCCCTGCCTCACATGCGCCGCCTTGCCTTCATTGTGTCAAGGGGCGGCAGCACGCCGCTCCTCACTCCTCCTCGTTTCCCCCGACAGAGGCTCCCCTGCAGACCCTCCACATGGACGTGTGGGGCCCAGCCCGCGTTCGTGGACAGGGCGGCGAGCGGTACTTTCTGCTGGTTGTCGTCGACTACTCGCGTTACACCACAGGGTGAGGTCCCTGCTGTCCTGATCCCTTGGATCCGAGCAGTTCGTCTCCAGCTCCGCCGGAGGTTCCGGACGGACCTTCCTGTCCTGCGTCTCCACTCTGACAGAGGTGGTGAGTTCACCTCTGACCTCTTGCGGGCCTTCTGTCAGGGGGAGGGCATCCTCCAGTCGTTCACGCTTCCGGGCTCACCGCAGCAAAATGGGGTTGCTGAGCGCCGCATTGGCTTGCGGCCGCTTTCACGCTTGACTCCGTGCGTCTTAAAACCGGCCTCCCGTTACAACCAGGCTCACCATTGCCTGCTCCTTCTCCTTACACTGAGCAGACAGACTCGCTTAAAGAGCGTCGTGAGCCTGCGTCTCGTCCTGCCTCGCCTGTTCGCGCTCGTCGCACTGGTCGTCGTGTTCCTCGTGAGCGTCCGCCTCCTGTCCCCGGCACGCACACTATGGCACTTCGTCCTTCCTCTGTTCCACACCGTGTTCCCTTGCCATCTCCTCCTGAGTCCTCTCTTCCGCACGTTCCGGACCCTGAGTCTGACCTGGTTCGTGCTGCTCACCCCACTGTCACGCGTCTGTTAGCCACTGTTGTCACTGACCCTACTTTTGAGTCTGCTGCTGCGTCTGCCTTAGTCTCTGAGCTTGTTGACTTTGCTGCTGCTTGTCGTCTCGACTACGCCGCCAGTCTTGTTGCTGAGTCTGAGTTTGTCTGTCCTCCGTCCGTCGGGGGTGAGTGTGCTCTTGGCACGGACGTCTTTGAGGACAGGCAGGAGGACTTTGAGTGTCTTGCGGCTGTTGTACCTCATCTCGTGGCCATGCTGCTTGCCCCTAAGGGAGACCCGGATGCACCAGACATCCCGACCCCGCGCTCTTACGCAGAGGCGATTACGGGTCCCTACTCCTCTCAGTGGCAGATAGCCATGGACGCAGAGATGGCATCCTAGAAGTCCACAGGCACTTACGTCGACGCAGTTCCCCCTCCTGGGGCGAACATTGTCGATGGCATGTGGATTTTCAGGTTGAAGCGGCCGCCAATCTCTTTGCCTGTCTTCAAGGCTCGTTACGTTGCACGAGGCTTTAGTCAGCGACAGGGAGTTGACTTCTTCCATACCTTCTCCCCTACCCCGAAGATGACCACTCTTTGGGTGCTGCTGCACGTTGCCGCTCAGCGTGACTACGAGCTTCACTCCCTTGACTTCAGCACAACTTTCTTGCAGGGCAGCCTGCACGAGGAGATCTTGCTGCGCCGCCCACCTGGTTTCACTGGGTCGTTTCCTGCAGGTACCAAGTGGAGCCTCCGGCGGCCAGTCTACGGTCTCCGCCAGGCGCCTCGTGAGTGGCACGGCACACTGAGGACGACACTTGCGGCTCTTGGGTTTGCTCCTTCGACAGCTGACCCGTCGCTGTTTCTGTGCACCGACACTTCGCTGCCGCCGTTCTACATCCTCGTGTACGTCGACGACTTGGTCTTTGCTACTGCTGACACTAAGGCACTCGCCCTTGTGAAGTCGGAGCTGCAGAAGAGACACACGTGCACAGACCTAGGTGAGCTGCGCAGCTACCTTGGCTTGCAGATCACCCGGGACAGAGCACGGTGCACCATCACACTGACTCAGTCACACATGGTGCAGCAGGCCCTTCAGCGCTTCGGCTTCTGTTGGTCCTCGCCACAGTCCACTCCTCTGGCTACCAGTCACTCGCTCTCAGCTCCACCTTCGAACGAGTCCGTAGAGCCGAGTGGCCCGTATCCAGAGCTTGTGGGCTGCCTAATGTACCTGATGACCTGCACTCCACCCGACCTTGCGTACCCTCTTAGCATCCTGGCTCGCTACGTTGCGCCTGGGAGACACCGGCGAGAGCACTGGGAGGCTGCTAAGAGGGTGTTACGCTACTTGTGCTGTACATCGGGCATGGGGCTCGTGCTTGGAGGACGGGGTGAGGTTGTCCTCACTGGACACTCAGACGCGTCTTGGGTTGACGACCTGGCTACGCAGCGGTCGTCACAGGGTTGCACTTTCAGCCTTGGCTTTGGCTCTGTTTCTTGGCGGTCTACTCGCTCGTCTTCTGTTCTCAGCTCCACTTGTGAGGCTGAGATCTACGCCACAGCCATGACTGCACAGGAGTTACGCTGGCTCACCTACCTGCTAACCGACTTGGGAGAGCGGCCTCCTTCTCCTCTCGTTCTGTACGTCGACAACAAAGCCTCCATTGCCTTGTGTCAGAAGCACAGACTGGAGCACAGAACGAAGCACATCGCTCTGCGTTACTTCCTGGCTCGAGAGTTGCAGCAGCGTGGTCAGCTTCGTCTTGCTCACGTGGCCACTCGGGCCAACACTGCTGATATATTCACCAAGGCGCTTCCGTCTGGTGATCATCAGCGCTTCTATACTACGTTAGGCCTTGTGCCTGTTTCGTCTCACTTGCTCACTTCGTGACTTTGCTTGTACTGTGATCAATATATATAATTACCTGCATGCTTGCTCTTGCTAGCTGCATGTGAACTGGCCTTGTGGCCCTTTGCTTGTGCTCAGAGTGTGTGGTGACGTTGTGATCCACCCTGAGCTTGCTTTGCTTTTCTTGACTGGTCTTGTGACCCCTTGTTCTCCCCCACTTTGCCTATGCGGGTGTGTCAAACTATACATGTGTTAGTTTTGTGTAGGCTATAGTGGGGTACAACCCAAAGTTAGGGTTAGTACTTGTACCCACATTTCATTCAATGCAGTCATTCCTGCTTAGTATTCTGACAAACCATGCACCGCTGGCCCGGCCGAGTCGGCCTACGCTTCGGGACTAGCCCGAACCTCGATGCCAGCCTAGCACTAGCTAGCTCGCACGCACCGCGTGACCGTTGCATGTTTTCGCACATAAGTATTCGCTCATGCCTTCGCTCATACTTTGTACTCGTTTGACACCTAGTGCAATCCTCGCTATCTCGTTCCATTGCACCCGTAACACTTGTTGATCAGTGTCACTTTCCTTTTGGACTGCGCCTTACCGCATCCATGAAATCAGCTTTTGATTTTTTGCTCGAAGGGATCACGCTTCTTAGCACCTAGGAGTTGCTGTCCTCGCGTTCTCGCGTAAACTCGTTCAGCCACGACCGCACCTAGACTAGGCTGAGCCGATGCCCTTCGAGATGGCCGAAGCATATTGATATCACGACGCTCATGCAGGAGCGTTTGAACGAAGCTGCAGCAGCTGCACGAAAGCTCCGAAGAAATTGTGGCGCTGACGGCAGAACGTGCATCCCTGCACAGCAAGGACACTTACAGATGGAATGTATATATGGACAACTCGCACGACAAGCATCACAACATGGAAGCGTGGGGCAACTCTCAAGCGCGACTAGTGATGGCGTCGCCCGCAACGACGGAGATGATGACCACGGTGCGACACACCCTTGAGCGACAAATGCGGCCAAAAGCCAACCTCGCGTCACGATTTTGGTTCCAACCGGCGAGTCAGCACTGCCGTCGCTGATGGCACTGAAGTCGCAGCGTTCGCCTTGCTTTGACCCGAGTCAACGGGGTGGTCCTACCGTTCAGGCTTGGTTATTCACCATGAACATGCTTTTCGACGCAAACTACGTCTCGGAGGATTCGACGAAGATTCATTACACCGTACGGCTGCTGCGAGGACTCGCCATGGATTGGTGGCGCGTTATCGTCACGATGCCGGCGGACTACGCGACTCTACCGACACGGGAAGGACAAACCGGACCCTGGGCGCCGTTATATTTCGTGGAGGTGCTCCAATATCGCACGTGGGATGTGTGGTGCGCAGGTCTGCGCGCACAATTTGAGCCAATCGCGGCTTCGATCGCGGCGCGCTAGAAGCTTTGCGCTTGGCCCCAGCTCGGTTCCGTCCAAGACTACACCAGCGGGTTCCTGACGCTGTGTAAGCAGGTGGGCTACATGCACGAGGGCGAACGCATCGACCGCTTCATCGGTGGTATGAAACACGAAATCGCCCTACAAATCCAGCTCCACAACGTGACCGAATTCCAGGACATCCTCGCCATGGCGGAGAAGCTAGACTTCTTACGCCGATTGAGACCGGGGTCCTTCGGAAACAACAGCAACTAGGGACATCGATCTCGTGGGACGAATGAGCACGCCTTGATACGTGCCATCGCCGCGAATGTCGCTGCGGGACACCACAAAGGCAAATGCACGAAAAATGCCAAGGGAAAGGGGGAAGCTGAGCAGCAGAAACAGACCAAGCAGCAGGGAAACGCTGGGAGTCAGTAGCAGATGAGCCCTCTACTGACAGGTCACGCCGCTCGCCCGACCCAACCGACCCTCACCGAGTGATTGTGCCGATTCACGCAATCGACCACACACGGTCGAATAAGGAGGGTACCGCGGTAGACACCCCCATACTGCTTAGTAGGAAAATTAGGACAGATTTAGTTAAGATCTTCGTAGACGGGGGAGCTAGCCACAGCCTCATCAACACTGCTACAGCACGGAAAATGAAACTGCCACTAGACAGATGTTTACCTGAAATTGACACAAGTCTGGTTGACGGCACGCCAGTGGCGTTACAGGAACGCGTGGACCGAGTTCGGATTTGATGTGGGGTTAGCTTCACGTTTAGTCAGGAAATGCTCGCAACAACCCTCTATAGAACCGACATTTTACTCGGCCGTGATTGGTTGCGACGACACAATCCGCGAATCGACTGGACGACGGGTGACTGCACCGTGCGAGTGAACGGTAACAACATCGCCTTACCTCGCTGGGGCTCGCCTGAGTCTTCGTCGGTGCGTGTCAACGCGATCACGATGAAACGCGCCGTAGCGGCAGGAGCTGACGTATATGCAGTTGACATCCAAGAAGATGAGGCAGCAGACGAGGGAAGCAATTTACAAAAACTGTTCGCTGATGTACCGGATGACCTGGCAGCATTACTGAAGCGGTACAGTGGGATTTTCCCGTACGACTTGCCGACAGGGCTGTCACCTCAGCAACCACACGATCACAGGATAGAATTAGAACCGGGGGCACAGCCG